GTTATGTATAGTTGAATTTTGTAGATTAATTGATATATTTAATACACAAACCTGGTGGACAGTCCTCACTGAAGCTGGACTCGAACGGCTTACACTCCGGCTGCGCATTTTTGTTGAAAACTGTAACATTGTATTAATTCAATTTTATAACATGTATTTTTTTTCAATTATCCTTAAATAACGTTAACCTAAAATACCTTTGAAACTATAAAATTAAGGCCCGATTTTTCAATTACCAGTTAATTCTTAACTATAGATTAAAATTGACGTACGACAGTTTTGAATATTGAAGATTTGTCAAATATCTAGAGTTATTCCTCAGTTATTTATCTGGCGTTGGAAAAGTCGGCCCTAAATCGTCGGTCTATAAGTCAATGAAGTTAGGTGATTGTTCCAAATCTTAAATTTGCATAGAAAGAAGGACGAGTAAGAAACCCCATCGTTATTCTTTTAAAGAAAAATTTACCTTTAGGAAGCTGCAAATACACTTAACAACATAGATATTGTGACATTATAAAGATTTAAAAAAAAACTGCATTATTATTCATTTTATATTTATTTAAAACACATCTAAGATATGTGTTTGCTCCCACTCACCAAGTATTAAAATCTTACTTCTGTTACCTTTAGTGAAGGCTTATTGCTGTTGGTGGAAGGTGGAATTTTATTAAGATGTATTATCATATAATGTAGTATCTGAGACACTATCAACGTTTCACACACTTTGCTGAGAACCGGCAAAACGGTTACAAAACCTGTTGTGTACGTTCGTTTTTTATGGTATAAGCCGGTAAACGAGCTGACGGATCACCTGATGGTAAGCAATCGGCGTCACCCATGGACACCTGGAACGCCAGAGGCGTTACCGGCCTTTTGGAGATTAGTAGTTTGAAGAATGTTGGGGATTCATGGATTGGAGAGATTGGGGACGGAAGGGAGGGCAATTGGGCCTCCGGTAACATCACTGATGTGACGAAACACAACGAAAGCGTTGCTTCACGTCGGTCTTCTCACCAGTGATACCACAGTATCACTCCGGTCGAGCCGGCCCATTCGTGCCGAAGCATGGCTCTCCCACACTTAGAACTTAGCGCTCTTTAGCGTAACCACTACCATCGATGTAATTATCATATCTTTTACTAAACATTTGCTATTTGACTTTAACATGATTAACGAAATTGGATATTATCAGTAATCAATCGAATATTGTTGAAGCAAACAAGTTTTAAAAGTTGAGTAGTACTAAGAGATGATATATTATTAATATTCATGTATGTGATACCTCTATTACCTTAACTATTTTATAAATACTTACAATCCCTAGAAGCTTCTCGAAAGAATAAGTCAGCGAACCCGGGGCTGCGCCTTTTCCTCGAGTCTCTGTATAAAAATGTGCTACGTTAATATAATATATAGCTGAAAATACCAGATTTAGGTTTGTTAAAAAAATTAAAACGAAACTAAAACTGTGAACAATGATTTCATAGTTCAACAATTTTCAGTATTTTCCACATTAAACTGTCAAACACCGCGCGGTCACCGGTGACCGCAACCTATTGTTCTATAATTGTGTCTATAATGACGGTACTCGACGAGTTAATGGATGAAGACAAATTAGATTAGATTAAAATAAATTCATAACCAAAATGTTCTTCTATCTATAAACATCCTAGTAACTTGTAATTCTGTCTCTTGAAACGGAGGGAAGATCCCCGCCGTTTCTTTTTTTAAATAATATTTCAGTAACTTAAAATTCCCCTTTATGAAAAAACCCTTCCGTAACCTACCAATACTTACTGGTTCCCAATCTCTGGATGACGGAAACTTAGCTTGTCACATCTTCTATTCTCTCTCTTCCAGCAGATGGCAGTGTGGTCACCCTGACAGAAGCAGAGGTAGCAGACACCAGGACCCACGGAATTAGGCGGTGTGTCCCTCTTGAAGTAGTAACCGACATTGGGGCACTTGTCTATGTGTTTCACCACGAAGTTTGTGTCCTTGCGCGCGGGAACATCTGCAACGGGAACAGGGTCATCTGGTTTGGATTAATAGGCTAGGACTGTGCTGGTTGGGTCTGGATGTAAGGGAATCATAAAATGGTATACTATAAGCTACCATGAAGTATGAGTGCCTTTTAAAGAAGAAGCTGTCGAGCTGACCGAACTAAGTATCTGATATAAATAATAATTGTTCATTGAACCTCTATGTTTGTAGATAGGACTGTGCCATAACATAGGGTTTTATGTGGCAATCATTTAAATGTGATGTGACGCTTTTTTTAACCTGAGGTCGTGTGAACCTGAGGTGTGTAACTTTTTCAAAGTACGTTAGCTTGTAGGCCCGTGATATCTATTGATAATTTTGGATCTTTAGGGAACAGAGAGTATAGTTCCCTAAGATCGGAAAAGGAGGATCCTCCGACCAGGCGAGGTGATCGTGCCTGGCGGGCTTTCTGCCCAACAGTTGTTCGTTGGGATTTTCTATCCGTGTTAAATCCAATGTAAACTTCGCATGTGCGATGTAGGATTTTTATGACGTCATCCGTTAGAATGTACCATGTGTCGCCACAGATCTCTCATCCCCCATCCCCGAATCCTCCTAAAATCCCCCAAAAGAACGGTAACGTACTTGTTACTCTTCTGATGTTTCGGGTGTCAGCGGGCAGCGGTGCTTGCTTACATCATGTGATCCACCTGCTCGTTTGCCGGCTAATCTCATAAACTATATACCTTATACCTACAAATCCATTGCCAACCTTTTGGGGATTTGGAAATGGGGAAGTGCGAAACACAACGCAAGTGCTCTTCCACGACACTTTTATATTTCATAGGATGACGTTTAGTCACCGTCTGACCTAGTCCCAAGCGATGAAAAAATCAACGTAAGTAATGAAATGACGGAATAACCGAACAATACAAGAACCTTTTGTTTCACTTTCCCAATCACGTCACCTTTAATAATCGTCTGTTTACTAAAGATATCGCAATTACATAATATTTTACACAAGTATTCAAATATCTTGTAACCGACCAATGTTTACAGTCTCCTGCAATTACCGTGTGATGTTATTGTTTCAGGTATTTTGTGAAAATAAACAGCAGTGAATGACGATAGCAGATTCGATTAATAGGTATTTTTGAAGTACTGCAATTAATAAATAACAATACGTAACGTTATCTCATGGTTAACAAATGCGGGATGGTATTGTTGTGGATTATATTTATCAATAATTATGTTGAGGGGTGACAGTGACCCAGAGTTAAGGCAAGCTTCTTAGTTATGAGAGTGAGGAATCGAAACCTTCGGAAAAACAATATGACTTTTTTAAGACACAATAATTTCTTCCACAACTCTTTGGATTAAAACGGAATTTCGAATCGAGTTTTTGCCCAAAGTTTAGATTGATTCAGATATTTTGTATTAGCATCAGTTATTCATTTCGGTCCACCATTTAAAGGTCGCGCAGCGATCGATGCCTTAAAAGAGGAAATTCGAAATGGAGTAACCCGACAGAGAACCAAAATCGTCGACGAAGTGGCAGTAGGCCGGTCCCGTTTGTCGAAGAAAGGATAACCGTTGGGGTAAACGTGTTCTAGAGTGGAGACCACGTCTAGACAAACGTAGTATAGGGCTCCCTCCAGGTGGAGTGACAAAATCCTCAAAGTGGTTAGGAGTGGTTGGATGAGAAGAGCTGAAGACCGAACTCAGTGGCGTGCCATTGGAGAGGCCTATGTCCAGCAGTAGACGAAAACGGGCTGCTGATGATGACATTTTAGCTGTTAGATACTACTGACATACGACAATTAAAAAGAGAATATTAGCCCTCGTTACTTAAAAAAATAATGCTCTGAATAACCTTGACTATCCTTGCTATAAGTAAATTATTTAACCTTTTTCAATAATTCATTTATTTTCACCTGAAATCTAGAATTACGAGCAGTGAAAATATTTACGTGAATTTCAGACACAATTGCAAATGCACACCGTAGCTAAAAATCAATAAACTGTATTGTAATTCGGTTATTTACCCTTCAGTGGCCAAGTAAACTATTTCTAGAGGGCATATTTCTTGGGGGAAGAAATAAAGAAATACCTATGTAGATACTGAAACTAAAGGTAAAACCATTCTGGGAAAAATTAGCTGAATTCTGACAACATCACATAGTTTAAATATAGTTAGCCTCTATCTTAACTTCCCAAATCCCTATATCCTCAAATATCCAACCCCCACAAGAGCGACAACGCGCTTGTAACTCCTTTAGTGTTGTGGATGTCCATCAACAGCGCCGATTGCTTACGATTGGATTCAATTGGAGCAATTTGAATTCGGTGATTCGTTTACTAGTTTACCGAGCTATAGCATATCAAAATATAGTTTCTGTCTACCACTATACCAGAATGAAATGGTTATATGTATCATGTTACCCAAACTGTACCTATACCATGCATCAATATGTAATGGAGGACAAACATAGGAATGTCTGTTCCCCAAACTGACTGAACAGTTACTGTAACATGTGTCGACACGTGAAACTCCCTCACATGGTCGCGACACAAAGCTCCATACTTATCAAAAGGCAACACACTTGTTATCAAACAGCCTGAAACCACAACGGATATTATGTTCACACAAATATACATTACTGCACTGAAAACATTAACACTATTTACTCACACTTGTTTTCTTTTAAAGCATATGCTGTAAATTAGGTAAAAGATGAATGAAATAAGTTTCAGGAATACATTCTGTAAAATAACAAATAAACAAATCCATGACAGTACTGTCATTTATCTTTGAAAATCCCGAATTTAAAAATCACTTTTAAACACTCAAAAATTTTGGCCAAAATAATTGGGTCACCAAAATATTTGTCCCATCTATAACTAATAATAAATGAGTTTTTCTGTTAGTTAGCGATGATGCTCACCTCTAGCAGTCAGCAGGTGAAAGATGAGGAGATGCAGCAGCAGCGCCAGCAGCATCGTCGCCGCCGCAAGCCCGAATATGCGCAGGAGTGGTTACAGCGAGAACGTCCCCGCACGGCGCTTGTTTGTAAATAGTAGAGAGAATTTCACGATTTTCGTGCAGGGACGGACTTGCGAGTGAAATTATGATTA